TACAGTAAACATACATTCGTCTAAAATTAATTTTCTTATTGGCCTATTCATTTTGACTAACCCTGTATTTAGCATAAATAGCTGTGCTTCTTTACCTCTAGATCTATTTTCAATCTTTGCTGTTAAGTCCTTTGCTACTCCAGAAAACAATAGCATCCCATAGCAATACGCCTCCAATTATGCCCTATTCATCATAACAACTGCAAAAACAAACAAACATATACTTATTGCAAGAAAGAAATATATCTCTATTTCAGCAGATAAAACAGAAAAGCAAAGCAAAGGAAACTCAAGGGATTATTTAAGTAATTAAAGTGACTGTGATTCTGAGAAATTACCTGTCATAGAAAACCTTAAATTCACAGACCCTGGGAGGCTTTTCCAGATGAGGCTTTTACCTCATTCATTGGATTTTTTGAAAAGTCTCGTCTTAAATTGCTCCTACTTTTGTTTTCAGACATTAAATGGATACTGTGGTTGTATGTCATTGTCACAAATTTTAAAAAAATAACACCGCCGCCCCAAAAAAACACACACATCTATGTGTATATAGATATATATAGATATATAGACAGACAAACCAAAATGCTAAGCACTTTAAAAAAAACCTAGGGTTCCAACTTAATATTTTCTCTAATGACTGTTTTTTTGCTATAGGATTAGAACTAGCACTAAAGTGAATGATGCTGCGATGGGAGACAGGGAATGACAATGAAGTGTAGGGGGGAAAAAGAACAATATATGCCATGACCTTTTTCCTACATCTCTTGGTCAGATTTCCTGTTTCCAAATGCAGTAAGCAGACACTGTCCCCAAACCAGCGTTAAAGCAAAATTCAATTACTCCTCTGGTTGCTTTTGTATGAGGAATATGGTGCAAAAGGGGAGATTTGTCCTTCACTTCCTCGGCAGAATGTCTTGGGCTGAATTTTTACAAAGGAATATTTCATCATGTGAACTTTCACCTGCCATTTGCAGTGAGACATTTCAGAAATAGGTCTCTTGTGTACAGGCTGTTTTGAATGTGTGTATGAAAGACAGAAATATACCTCAGTGAGCTTAAAGAAACCATATGCATGTGGATGGAAGTACAATAAAAAAATGAACTCCATTATATGTAGATAGATAGCATGTTTCTCTGTCTATGCCAGAGAATGCAGAGGCATTTTGGTAGTACTACCTGTCACAGGTAAAGTGGTAGCTACTGCTAGCAGAACCCAACTGATGTATTTTGGATAAATCCCTATCAACATGAAACCTTAATAATTATGCAGCTCCTGTTCTATTCCGTTAGTAAAATACTGCCAGGAACTAATGCCATGTTGTGAAACATTTTGCATTTTGCAATATTTATCATACCTCAACATGAATATTTATTTAGCATGGATACCAACATGAATAATAGTTACTAATTTTGTTGTATGCATTGAAGTCATTTCTGATGCATGGTGACCCTAAGTTGGACCCTAAGATGGTGAGATTTGTTGGGAGTGGGTGCTATTGCCTTCTTCTGAGGCTGACAGGTCACCTTGTGGGTTTCCATAACTATACTGGAATTTGAGCTCTGGCCTTCCTAATCCAACACTCAAGCCACTGAACAACACTGGCCCTCTACTGTTACTTTCTAATGTTCCCTTGTAAATTTAATTTGCTCCCAAGGCTAAGAAAGAAGGGTAAACCACTAAAATATTTGTTTTAAATCAGGGGTGAGAATCATATGCACATTCAGATGTGGCTTTTGTACCTCAAGACTGATAAGCCATAACCATCATAGTCATAGTTCAGGGATGCTGAGAGATTCGGCTCAACAATACCTGGGGAGCCATATAATCGCTACCCTTCTTGAAAACATTACCCTGTACAGTATGTCAATGGCTTTGGATCCAGGACCTCCTGTGGACACCCAATCCACAGGTGTTCAAATCCCATTATATATAATGACATAGTGAATGGCAAAACAGCAAAATCAGGCTTAGTTTTTTAGAATTATAAAAATATTTTCAAGTCATGGATGTCTGAATCCATGGAGGCAAAATATATGATTCCGGAAATTTAAAATCCCAATAGTGGGTCTATACAACTGAGCTTTCAAACCCATGGCCAATCCATATTGCTCATTGACACAGCAGTTACAGTTTTTCTCAGAAGACCAATATGGATTAAAACTTGGACCAATCTTTATAGAAATCCCTCTCTACCATTAAACTGTCCCTTTCAGCCTAAACTGCCTCAGTTTCCTATAGGAAAAATTAAGACTAAATTTCTGCCTGCCTGCCCCCTAATGCAATAAATAATAGTAGTAATCATATATCATTTATAATGTAAAATTAAATAGGCTATTTGAACCATCAGGCAAAACTAACAATCATATAGCCAGCTACTTGTCCTTTTATTGGTAAGTCTGCTGTTAATGCTTTAGTATCCCAAAGAAAATCATTAGCTGTTTCATATTACTGAGATAGTGAGTATTAATGTGCTGATAAATCAGTATTTTGTAGTTTCCATAAATATTTATGCTCTCTTTTTCTTTAACGACAGCTAATGTGCTGGAAGGAGACTCAATGGAGCAGGACGTGGAGAGCCCTGTTACAATTCATCCACCAAAGTTGCCAAAACAAGCCAGAGAAGATCTGCCAAAGCATTTAAACAAAGAATGTACCAAGAGAAGAATCCAGAGATACGTTAGGAAGGATGGAAAGTGCAACGTTCACCATGGAAATGTAAGAGAGACTTATCGTTACCTGACTGATATCTTCACTACCTTGGTTGACCTCAAGTGGAGATTCAACCTTTTAATATTTGTCATGGTTTATACTGTGACTTGGCTGTTCTTTGGATTCATCTGGTGGTTAATTGCATACATCCGAGGAGATATGGAGCACATAGGAGATAAGAAATGGACCCCTTGTGTCAGTAACCTCAATGGGTTTGTCTCAGCCTTTTTATTCTCCATAGAGACAGAAACCACCATTGGATATGGCTATCGGGTCATCACAGACAAATGTCCTGAAGGAATTATCCTGCTTTTAGTTCAGTCTGTTCTAGGATCTATAGTTAATGCCTTCATGGTTGGCTGTATGTTTGTAAAAATTTCTCAACCCAAGAAGAGGGCTGAAACCTTGGTGTTTTCTACCAATGCTGTCATTTCCATGCGAGATGGGAAGCTATGTCTGATGTTCCGTGTGGGGGATCTTAGGAATTCGCACATTGTGGAAGCATCAATACGAGCCAAGTTGATCAAGTCTAAACAGACAAAAGAGGGAGAATTTATACCACTCAATCAGACAGATATCAATGTGGGTTATTATACAGGGGACGATCGCCTGTTTTTGGTTTCACCACTGATCATCAGCCATGAAATAAACCAACAGAGTCCTTTCTGGGAGATTTCCAAAGCCCAATTGCCCAAAGAAGAATTAGAAATAGTTGTAATCCTAGAAGGAATGGTGGAAGCAACAGGTAACATTTATTTTCCGCATGTTTACTGTAATTTGAAACTTCTCCTAAAACGTTAAAGGAAGATGTTGCATTGTATAAGAGGTAAAAGGTAACCTGCATAAATATGCAAGGAGCTATGCTATCAGTGTTTGTCACAATGTGTATCCTCAGGTCTAAGGGTTAATCTTGTTCCTATAGCAAGTGTGTGATAATAAAAAAAGAATGAAAAAGTAGTCATAGAGTAAAAAAAAAATGAGTCAGATGTTCTGAACCCCTGATTCAAGTCAGTAAAAACATGTCAGAATAATGTATTGTTTGTGCATTTATAAATATGTGAACCTGATCCTGCACTAACTTTCAAATATACTCAGTTTATCACAAGGAAGGCCAAAAATTGGAAAGGTATGTTGAATTATGGGGTTATTCTCACATAAAATTGATGTCAAAGTAAAAGGACATATTGTTTGCCAGAAATGAATGATTATATTGGTTTTGTCTTGATGTTGCTTTTTTATTTTTGCCTATTTTTGCACCCTCCTTCCAGGAAAAACTACAGGCACTCTGCACAGTTGCAGTTTGATATATTGCCCAAAAGGGATACATCCTAGGAGAGATTTAGGATAGCAAATTAGAGGTATTTGTACTCTGACACTTATGTGTCATCAAGTCAATTTTGCCTTGAAGAAAACCCAGTCATACATATTCTTGGCATTTGTTTAGAAGAGGTTCACCATTTCCTCCCTCTGAGTTTGAGACACTTACTGAAGGCCACCCAATGGTTATTCATGACTGAGCAGGAATTCAAACCCTGGTATATAAGAATCCTAGTGCAGTGCTCAAATCATGAGACCATACTGACTGGTATCATGATTTGAGTATTGGATTAGGATTCTGAGAGACCAGGATTTATTGATATTTAGTTAAAGTTCATTCTGCCAACCATTCAAACTATATGTTATTATTTTAACTATATGTTGTCAGAGAAATCAGATACATTTTACAGCATCACACTTTCTAAAATTGTCATGTTTATCTAAGTATTGGGGTTTTCTCCCCACAGTCAATGAGATTTCTGAACAATTGACTTTGGATTCACTCTACAGCATATTAAAAGTTCAGTTTGATTGACATTATATCCTACTCATTATATCAACGGGAGCAAGAAGTAAAAAAAAAGTGACCAAATGAATTCAGGAGTATATCAATCTAGACTATACAGATAGAATTTGTTCTTCCAAACAAAAAAAATGTAAACATGCACTACAGACTGTTCCTTCCAAACAAAAACCTTAATCAGCTTTGGGTCTATAGAAGTGCACTTCATCAACAATTCATAAAGCCAGCACATTGGACAACAATGGAAAAAAACAGGTGCACTCAGGAATAGGAGAGGCAGCTACAAAAACCTGTTAAAATATCAATGCAAGGTGCTGACGGCCAATAAAAATTGTATTTCAGAGGGATGTATTGCTTTGAGAATACTGCCAAGAAATAAAAACTGTAAAATATGATTGCCAACCTACATGCAGCTCAGAGATTGTGATGATTACAGTGAACTATAATTATGACTTTGAGAGAACAGGGCAAATAAAACTAGTTCACAGCACCGAGCAACAAGAAGTTTATAAGAAGATGTCATGTAAATCCCACATATTTAAAAGTGAAAAGATTAAGAGCCCAACCCCAATAATAAAGTTTCATATGAAGTGGAGTGTTAACGATTTTGTGTTGTTGTGTTCTTTGTTATTGTCCCTTGGTACTACAGTAGAGTCTCACTTATCCAATGTTCACTCATCCAATGTTCTGTATTATACAACGCAGTCTGCCTCCCGCCCAGATCCACAGCTGTTTCAATACATTGCAATGTTTTGGTGTTAAATTCATAAATACAGTAATTACTACATAATGTTACCATGTATTAAACTTCCTTTTTTGTCGATTTGTTGTAAAACATTGTTTTTTGGTGCCTAATTTGCAAAACCATAACGTAATTTGACGTTTCATCGGCTTTTTCTTAATCCCTCCTTATTATCCAACATTTTCGCTTATCCAACGTTCTGTCGGCCCATTTATGTTGGATAAGCGAGACTCTACTGTACTTTGAAATAGTCCTCTTTTGTAAAGAATTAATGGAAAAATCAAATCAACTCCATTTATATTCCAGATAGAAATCCAATAGAGAGGACAAGACCAGTTCTAGCCTCACTGCTTAATTCAGTATGGACTGAAGTGTGGATTAATCCTTTTTTTTCCTATGGCTTCCAAAAGCCACTAACTAACATGGCCACTGATGCAGCAATACAGAATTGTTAACAATGGAACTGGAAATTGATTTCTGAGTTGGCCACTCAGAAAACAAGACTGTGCTCCAGATTTGCCTCAGAGCCCGTGAGAGTATTCAAATGCTTTATTCCTGACCCACAACTCTCCAGCCATCTGATGCAGTGATGGGAATGACATGGCCACAGTTCATCCTCTTTTCCCTGTGCTCCCAAATATAAAGAAAAGCCGATAGCAGCACTAGCCAGCACAGGCAGCAGAGTGGCTCATATTCAAGCCAGTTTGCTAACCGTACACTGCCTAAAGTACAGGGCCGCTCTGGAGTTTTAGCAATACTCCAAACGCTCCTCAACTTTGATTAACTAGGAACTAAACTAGTTCAGTCTAGTTCACACTTCATTAAGGACCAAAAGTCACAGGATGTTGTGTGAACATTCATGAGTGATTTCTGGTCCCCTTTGGGTTTTAGGGCTAGTGTAGACAGGTCCTTGGTAGCATCTGGATGGAACCAGGAATTTCATGTTGCTTTGCTCTCCTTGTTGGAGGGAGATGGAAAAGTGGTATCCATCTACCCCTTGGTTCAAGCAGGCAGGTCCATCCCACCAGTCCAAGTTAGACCTTAAGTTCCCCACTGCTTGGAGCACAAACCATTGGTGATGTCTGAACTGGTGTATCGGAAGAGTTTGGCATGATACTGACTCCCCCAAAAATAGAGAGTCCATAATGCCAAAATGTTTGTTTACTGATAAAATATTCAAGCTTTAAAAAGCTAAAAATCTGAAATTAACTACTGTATATAGATATATTCATTTCCTTGTTGTTAATCATCTACATCTGCTTGCAGTTTCATTTATGTTTTTGACAGCTCAAAAGCAATGTTTGCAGAAGGGTTTATGGTTACATAAAAATCATGCTTACCAGCTGTGGAAAATGTGCTTGAAAAGAAGTAAACTGTGCACACAAAATGCTATTTAAATACCCAATGAGGTTATCGGATAAATTACCACCATGCAAAGCGGGTTGACTTTTAGATTTAACCCCGTTAACTGGCTGATGATTGTCCCTCTGACTCCCTACAAATAAATGGATATATTTATTTATCAACATCAGAGCTGTCTGTACTCAGAGCTTTATAAAGCCATGACATTCTGTGTCAAGGTAGCTGAAATTCTCCTTATATAGATTATGTAAATTTGGCACAGTTTCAGATTTGCATAGTTTGCTTTGCTTTTGTCATTCAAAGTAAATATAGAGCACTGAAACATTCCCAACCGGCTACTTAACTCTCCATTCATTCAGAAGATTTACCATTGGGCTGAATTCACTGTTTGTTCTACTCAAAAAAACGCCAGTAAGAGTAAATTAGGCATATTACCATATTTACTCAAGTCTAAAACGCACCTTTGTTGGCAGCATTATATTGCTAAAATTGAGATGCACATCAGATTTCATGGGCAAGAGGTCCCAGCTGTGAACAGAGAAGGGAGAGGCAGCAGTGGCAGTGAAAAGGCTGGTGGGAAGTTGATGGTGGCTATAGAAAGACTGCTGGGAAGACCTGATGGAGGGGCACAGATGCCCACCATCCTTTTCACAGCCACTACTGGCTTCCCACTAGGCCTGACAAAGTGGCATGGCTTTCCACCAGCCTTCTGATGGCTACCACCAGCTTCTCACCAGGTCTGACGATGGGACAGTGGCCACTATTGCCTCACATTACATTTGACAGTAAATTCCTTTTTTTGTAATGCACACCTTGAATATAGAGGTGAACATTACATTCGATGGTGCATTATACTCAAGTATATAAGTTAGTCATAGCTAACTTTATTTACATATTTCAGTAGGTAAGTACGAGTAATGTAGGTAGGAGTCACTGTCCAGAATTTTTTGGAGTTTATTGTGTTAGCAGTAAGATCAAGGCTTTTTTTTTCTTTCTTTTTTTAAACAAGGCTATCAGTATGCTACATTTGATGCTAGTAACAAATCTGTTGCTCTCACACCCACCACATTCCTACTAATGAATACCAATCTCCACCAACAGTTTCATTCAGAAAATTTTGGTCAGTCTCTGTTATGACACATAGCATGTTGATGGTGATCTTAGACATCTGCCAAAGATGGAGGAGAAAGTGATGGAGGCATGAACAAGAAAAATCCAGAAACAGCAAAAGAAAAGAATAAAAAATATATGGTGGCAGCAGTGATTTGAGGATGCTTCAGGCCAATTAGTGATTGAAAACCTGGCATTTATACCAATGTCCTCTGAGAAACTTAGCTTGGGCAAATATGCAAATATGAAGAATTACGTAAGAGCATCCCAAACAAGAAAACAAGAAAAGAGATGATGGCCAAAGGTAAAGGGTAACAGTTTCCCTTTGACATTAAATTTAGTCGTGCCCGACTTTGGGGTTGGTGCTCATCTCCATTTCCAAGGTCATGTGGCCAGCATGACTGCATGGAGCACCGTTACCTTCCAGCTGGAGCGGAATCTATTGATCTACTCACATTTGCATGTTTTCGAACTGCTAGATTGGCAGAAGCTGGGGCTAACAGCGGAGCTACCCCCGCTCTCCCAATTCGAACTGCCAATCTTTTGTTCAGCAAGTTGAGCAGTTCAGTAGTTTAACCCGCTTCAAAACCGGGGGCTAACAAGATACCAAAATAGAAAATCCAGAGAGGACCTGCAATTCCTTCCACATAAGTACAAGGAAGTAGCAGGCATACTCAAAAGATTGCTATGTTTATCAGAAAATAATCTCAGTACTTGACATCAAGGATGAAATTGCAGTAAAGTGCAATTTCATTCAATAAATGTTTGAAGATAATAAAAATTCATTCTGTCTGAAGTCCATACTGGACTAGAAATATAAGACATCAAAGTTTAAAATGAAATGTTGTTGTATTTAATTGACAAGGTTCCTGGA